GTAAACTCCGATCCCCTGTCCATTACGAATTCTCTGACGAAAGGATAGCGCAGGTAATACTCCTCGATGCAGTTCACTAGTCCTCTTCCTCTTCATCGTCATCATCATCACCTTCTACTTCCACGGCCTCCTTTCTCCTTTCTGGCTCCGCCCCCCTCCTCGGAGGTTTTTGGCTGGCGCTGACTCTGGCTTGATTTCTCGTTCGCGCTGCCTGCGCCAGCCGCGCCTGCGGAGTGAGGGGTCCCCCCCTCATTCCTGATTGTGGGCATGACCCCACCATATTTACTCCGGGTCGCCCAGGTGCTGATTCCGGACCGGAGTCGTAGAGGAACACCTTGGGGATGCTAGATTTCCATCTCTTCACTTCCTCACAGAGGCCCACCAGCTTCCGTTGGTACCTCCCCATCTTATCCAGCAGGTCCTCCATCTTCCCATATAAGACGGACGGAGGCTCCGTTCTTCCCTCCTCATTTTCGTCTTCTGCCTCAATGACTATGGGCCCTTTCTTCTTACTCCTTCCTAGTAGCCTTTGAACCACTTCCTCATCACTCCCTACTTCCTTCTCCCCAATCTGTGGTTCCACCTTTTCCTGCCATAGCCTGAACATGGCAGGGGGTTGCGGCCCAGCTGCCGCTCTTCGCTGGGCTTCAGCCCTCACTCCTCCGAGCCTTCTGTCGATGGCCTCCCCAAACTGATCGTAGATATTCCCATCCATAGTAGAGGAAATCAGTCCGCTTCTCTCGTCTTCCCGTCTTATATTACAGAACCTTATAGTGTGGCCTTGCTGGTCACAATGTTGACAGATGGCCGTCCTCCAGTCAAAACGGGGTCTTCCATACCCCTGACTTCCCTGATCCCCCTGACCTTGATACCCCTTGCCTTGATAGCCCTGGCCTTGGTACCCCTGGCCTTGACTCCCTTGGCCTTGGTACCCATGGCCTTGACTCCCTTGGCCTTGGTACCCCTGGCCTTGGCCCCCTTGGCCCTGGTACCCCTGGCCTTGGCCCCCTTGGCCCTGGTACCCCTGGCCTTGGCCCCCTTGGCTCTGGTACCCCTGGCCTTGGCCATTCCATTGCCTTCCTCTTCCGCCGCCATTCCTGCCTCGGCCCCTTCCTCCACCCCTACCTCAGTTGTCTTAATTGCCTTTCCCCTGATTCCCTCCTCCTACAACACTGCCTTGTGAACTGGGATCAGGTGACGGTAGCGGGGCCACAGGCTGGGCCTGGGCCGCGGGGTAGATGGGTGGCGGCATACTCGTTTGCGGTCCGGCTACTGGCGGCGGGCTTCCCCACGGCACAATCGCATTGATCACCGGCCAGGGCCACTGTCCGTAGGAGGGCGCCCCACCTTGCGAGGGGCCCGTACTAGATGATGGAGCCGCCACACTTAAAGGGGCTGCTGCCTGGGTYTGAGGTGCCTGCGCTTTTCCTGATCCCTGTCCGCCCTGCGCCAAATTACGCACTTTGCGCTGGACCTTTGTCAGGTGCTGCGGTACCGGCTCTTCCTCTTCCCAGAGCTCCTCCTGAACAGCCTCCTCTATCACTGGCTCCTTTCCTTTCACTTTGACAGCCGTCACCACCCTCCTTTGCACCAACGGCTCTGTCGCATACCCTAGCTGTGTCAATACGTCTGTAACAATCCTTGTTACTCCCGGGGTCCCAGAAGCGGTCGCATCTCTTTCCTTTCTCTTTTGTCTTTGCAGGCGTACCTGACGTTGTTCCACCTGGTCCAAACATCCCACTTCCACCCCTCTATCAATGGTGGTCCA